ACACTTCTTGTAGGCTCTTCCTTATGCAACTTTTGAGCACATTACATCTGTGGATGGAGACACAGTTTTACGATCAGCTGCTGAGATCCTCAGCTGATGCAAAAAGCCTTCCTTCTCAGAGGCCTGGTAATGGCTTATAATGCTCCAAATTACACTGCTAATGGCAGCATCAGAGAAACAGCTTTGTTACTGATTCCTCTGCATAAACTGGGAAGAAAACAGATGTCACCCATAGCTATCAGTAAGGAACTAGTCAGAGTCATAACAAAGCCAACTGATGGCAGCACTCAAACTGCAGCCTCCTCTGATAGACAGGTGCAGCCATCTTGCAAAGCCAGCCCTGGGCTTTCTGTGCTGCAGGGAAGAAAGGCAGGGGAAAGGGCTTGTATTTCTGGAGAATTACAGACCTGCCACTCTGCCCAGCCATTTGAAACTCACCGCCTCTGGTAACAAACTGATCTTGCTGAGGATGTGCCACACTACCCTGTATGCTGAGGATGTACTCCTCATAAGCACTGCATTCACCTCTGATGTGCAACAAAGCTAATTTTCATCTTAACACTGAAGTAATCGAGGGATTGATGCAGGCAGGCACAGAAGAAATACACACCACTGAATATAAAGGGACATTTATGCGTTAAGGTGCTGGCTGTTGGGGAAGGATCACTGTCTGAAAAAGCTCATCTGCTTCACCCAGGACACTGAACTCTGACGTAAATCCTAGTCTGAGCATTTCTGATTTCTCTTGCTGGACACTGACATTTTCATTGTTACCATAATCTTCCTCAGATGAGGAAGGTTTATGAATGGAGGAATGGGGTAATGATGAGTGAGTGGAACATTGTGCTAAAAGATCAGCAACGGCACTGAAAAAACAGTGAGTGAAAAAAGTTGTTGCTGTTCCTCTTATTGAAATGTTCTGCAGGTCAGATCAGCTGTTCTAGATGTGCCCCTCTTTGCAGATGGGTGCCAGTAGCTCCTGGAGTGCCTCCAGAAACAGCAGCTTATGCTGGAAGCAAAGTTATTGCAGAGATGAATAAACTCACCACTGTGAAAGCCTGCTTTTACTGTTTCTCCAAAGAATTTAGCTTATTGGTCTGAAAAGATGGAAAATGAAGGAATGTCTGAACTGGCCAAAACAAAGATGCATCCATTCTGATATGCTTCTTCCTGCAAGGGCCAATAGTGAACACATAAAAAAGAGAGTAAGAAAAGCCAGATGCAAAGTGATTTTTTTTTCTTCTCTGGCATTGTCTCCTTGTTACTGACAATGTGCAGCTGGAGATTTTCTTACATCTCAGATAACATCTCCACTGTTGTGTTTAATGGGAAGTACCTGATGGTTAATAGCACTTACCGGTATTGTCCACCCCAGCTACCTGATTCTAGCTGTGCAGAAGAGGAGGACACAGCCCAAAGGAGAATATCACCCATCTTTTCCTCACCTGATCATTTCTGTTGGTTCAAAGCACCAGCGCTGAGAGCAATGAATATGTAATTATAATTAAATTATCAAATAGCTATCTGCAGTATCTTTGATGGTTCCAAAGGAAATTGAACCAGAGTATTTGGGACATAGCACTAACAACTACCTAGAAACTACTAGAACATCAGTGTTGACACATACCTTTCTCATTGAGATTTCCCTCATATCATGGGAGAGATCTGTTTATACAAGTGAATTTTTCCAAGAAGAGCAAATTGGAACAAACTGGGGCCAGCGACTGAAGATGATTTCTCTCCCGTAAGGCCCTCCTCCTTGTGACTTATAAACAGTCAACCAGACTCCTTGACTGTGCTGTCTTTCTTGGTGAACTTGCGTTTTGCTGATCTGAACTTTGTTCCAGGAAAAGTAGTACTAGGATGAGAGAGCAGTGCATGTTAGTTGGAGCAGTATTTGTGGCTGTGAACATTCCAGCTGAGCACAGGAGGATTGGAAAGCATGCCTGTATCATGCTCAGTAGGGATATGCTGATATACAGAAATGGAGCAACCAAGAGAAGAAGCAAGAGTGGTCACCAAATGATTCATTTTTCTTCAAACACATGCATGGCTCTGCTCTAAATGGAAATACACAGACTCAGGCACTCAAACCCTATTAGACAAATTGGGCAAGGGGTACTGAACATGAAATTTACTTATTCATATGCCATTATCACCATAGCGCAGAGGAGCACAAGGTCCTGCATCTGTCAAAGGACAGCCCCATGCAACAAACCATTCTGAAAAGATTCTTCTACAAGTTATGGTGGATCCACCACTGTATTTAAGCCACCAGTGATGGCAAATCACATCATGAGAAGCACAGCCAGCAGATCTCAATTATTTATCAACCCTCTCTACTTGGCACCCACAAAGATGTACCTGCAGTGCTGTGTCCAGATAGTCCCTATCCTGCAGTGAATGAGGATGTGGAACACTGAACAAAAACAACGTGAAGAGCTCCCAAGGGCTGGAGCACACAGCATAGAAGGAGAGATGATGAAGGGAGCTGGGCTTGTTGGACCTGGTTGGGGGAGGCTGAGGGAGCAAGGGATCTAAGAGCAGCTGCATTGGATTTATGTGGGGAGAGTTTGGTAGCAGGAGGGCTGCAGGGGTGGCCTTTGTGAGAATAGACAAGGAAATCTCCATGTTAGAGAAGAACCACAGATCACAGATCACAGAATTTCTAGGTTGGAAGAGACCTCAAGATCATCGAGTCCAACCTCTGACCTAACGCTAACAGTCCCCACTAAACCATATCCCTAAGCTCTACATCTAAACATCTTTTAAAGACTTCCAGGGATGGTGACTCCACCACTTCCCTGGGCAGCCTGTTCCAGTGTCTAACAACCCTTTCAGTAAAGAAGTTCTTCTTAACATCTAACCTAGAACTCCCCTGGCGCAGCTCCACCTATCTTCAAAATGGACCCATCATTGGCCTGAGCTGTGCCACTGAGTGATGCTGGTTGTGCCTCTGGGAGAGCAGATTCAAGGCTTAAAAACATTGTGCAACAGCACAATGCTGGGAGGGATGAGTGAGAAAATGTGAGAGAAACAGCCCTGCAAACACCAAGGTCAGTGCAAAAAGATGGCAGGAGATGCTCCAAGCATGAGAGCAGAAGTTCCCCTGTGGCCTGTGGAGAGGAGAGGCCTCTGGTGGAGCAGACTGTCCCCCTGCAGCCCATGGGTCCCATGGCAGAGCAGATCTCCATGCTGCAGCCCATGGAGGAGCCCACAGTGGATCAGGTTCATGGCCAGAGCTGCATCTCATGAGGGACCCATGCTGAAGAAGTCCTGTCCTGAAGGGTTGCACCCTGTGGTACAGGTCCATATAGAACAGTTCAGGAAGGACTGCATCCAGTGGAGGGACCCTACAGTAGAGGATGACGTTTAAAAAGGAAAATGTGAAGCCCTGCAACTGAAAGGGGGCTGGCCCATGCAATACTACATGCTGAGACTAAGGGAACAGAAAGCAGCTCTGCAGACAAGGTCTTGTTGTCCATATTGTTCAGAAGTCATCAGTGTGCCTTTGCAGTAGTAGTACTGCAGCCCCACTCCATCTCCATCCCTGAAGATATTCAAAGGCCAGGGCCTTGAGCAACATAATCCAACTTTGCAGTTGTATCTAACTTCAAACCTTGAGGGGAGGTAGGACCAGACAATCTCCAGTGGACCCTTCCAACCTGAATCACTGCAATTCTGACTGGCAAGGGCATTCGACACAAGCTGTAATATCCACAGGGTGACCCTTGGGAAGTTCAGACTGCAGATGAAGAAACACCTCTTTCCCCAGTGAAGGTGCAGCCCTGGGAAAGGTGCCCAGAGATGTGGGGTATCTGCATCCTGCTTTAAAAAAAAAACAACAACAAAAAACTCAGCTAGACGAGGTACAGCTGCTCTGATGTTGTGTTCGCATGGTCCTGCTCTGAGTGGGAGAAGAGATTGCTCTCATCATGTGTACCCAACACCTGAAACAGTGTGCGTGCTTGGATATAAGTGTGACAGGCAAGGTTTGCAATGCCCTGCCAACAGGTACTACCACCCCTGGTGTTTATGGACTACAGTGAATCCTGACTGAACAAGGAAGACTAGAAACAGAAGTTTCCTAGGTCTAACTTGAAACATGCTTTAGCACAGTGAATTTCGTAATGTGTAAAAATTATCCCTTGTATTAAGCAGCATAAGATTATGGAAATCTTTCCTTAGTCTGTGGCAGTGCATCATAGTACTTCTTAGGTCACTGCAAAGGTGGAGAGATTTTCACCCCCACTTCACTAATGTGGCTAAACTTGGTAACCATCACAATGTGATCAAGTAATAGAATTGGGAAGAATTTTAAGTTCCTAACGTAGTCGATTAAACTCAAATGCCAGCAGATATTCCTGAGATACTCTATGCCAACATACTTAGCAGACTGTTTAGTATATGAAGTACATTTAATAAATAAAACATATAGCTATTTCACTGCCATCTTCCAGAAACAGATGAGAAGTGTCTGAGTTGTGGGATGTTCTCCAAGCTTTACTGAGCAGCTGTACAACATGCAGCCATTTCAAGGATTTTCCGTCATTATAAAAGCAAACTAGCTAACTGTGAATTAGACTGAACAGCCTCAATTATATAACTTGTTACTACTTCCAAACATGCTCAGTGGAAAGAACAGGAGTTGTAAAGTAATGGATGACGGGAGATAAATTGGCATGTATGTGAATCAACGTTTGAACAAAGGAACTCCAGTTCTTTCTTGGAATAGCAACATTTTGATGTTTTGAATCCCCTGACACTGGTTTCATAAATGCAGTAATGTAAACCATGTGCTGGGTGGTGATTTTCTGAGGACCTTCCCCTTTTCATTGTGTATTTTATTACAGGCCAAATGTGACATTAATTGCTATCCACTGCAGCTTGGAGTTAAATACTTGCTCTGTTCAGAATAGCAACACTCAATTAAACAGCATTTTTCATGATCTACACCCTCTATTGTCACTATCTTTAAGGGAAATAATGGGAGCACTGACCTATATTGCGTTTCTTATTATCGATGGAGATGAAGCGTATGCAGGGATTATCGGTGATGTACTTTGCAGCCCAGGGGACATCAATACACACACCAGCTTCATAAAAAAGTCCCAGAGCGTAGCGGGATGAGTAGCTTGTAGCTTCCAGTTGCTGCTTTTGCCTTTCATTAATTACTGTGGGAGAAAACAAAAACAAAAACCAAACACAATTCAGACAATTCCTTTTCTCTCAGAACATTAGATGTATGAATCCTGTCGTTAAGCTTATTCCTTCCTGAAAATGTCCAGGCTGCTAAAACAAAGAATCTAATACTAAGCCTAGTGTTTTGCAATACTTTTTCTGGGACACCTCTTCATGAAGTTTTAATGGCACATTATGTAACATAGCCCCTTCATGTGCAATCTTCCCCCGTCTGTTGGTGGTTGGTAGTTTGGTGGGTGGAATCTCTCCACTAGTCACCTCTGATTAGAAATTTGACGATAGGTGACTTTTTCTCAAATCTTTCCTCAAAAGGTGAATACATATTTCTTGGTGTGAGTAAGAGGTCACAGTTTGTCCCTAGTACATAAAGTGAATGATTGTACAATTTCACATATCAAAAAGAATCATAGAATCATAGAATATCCCAAGTTGGAAGGGACCCATAAGGATCATCAAGTCCAACTCCTGGCACCACACAGGTCTACCCAAAAATTCAGACCATGTGACTAAGAGCACAGTCCAAACGCTTCTTAAACTCCAACAGGCTTGGTGCAGTGACTACTTCCCTGGTGAGCCTGTTTCAGTGAGCGGCCACCCTCTCAGTGAAGAACCTCTTCCTGATATCCACCCTGAACCTCCCCTGCCACAGCTTGACACCATTCCCACGGGTCTTATCACTGGTGACTAAGGAGAATAGAGCAGTGCCTTCCCCTCCACTCTCTCTCGTGAGAAAGCTGTAGACCATGATGAGGTCTCCCCTCAGCCTCCTCTTTTCCAGGCTGAACAGAACATAGGAACTCTTGAATTTCTGGGAAAAACAGTCACCCTGCAACTTCTATGTTGCAATTCAAATGAATGAAAAAATCTCTACAGCATAGCACTTTAGCACTATATTCTTGGATTATAGTGACATATCCATACTATTAGCATATTAGTGATTGAAAACTAGTGAAGAATTTATCCTAAATATATATATATATATTCAACACAGTATCTGTCTGTGGGGACAACCTGAGAAAGTCTCAGAAAGGAGAAGACCTCACAAAGGGTTCAAAGCGAAGTCCAGTTACTTCAGCTGAAAGCATTTTAAGGTAGTTAAGAAAATTTCAGAACAATTATGAATCCATTTCTTCATGTGATTAACTCTCCTATCTTCTAATACAGTAAGATACGCTTTTTGCTTCAATTTTCTAGTTTCCATAAAACACTGCCCAAAGTAGTTTTAGCCCCACTATGCATTCAAATACTCTTTTATTTCATGCCAAAGAAGAACACTTCAGTTTGACCAATTGTGGAGTTAGGTACCACATCTCTCTTTGTACTACAACACGGATGGCCAAAGCATCTGAGAGCTGGAGTAGCAGAGGCAAGAACACAACATCATGGAGGTCTCATGGTCTTCACTCGTACATGAAACTACAAACCCTATCAGCTTGTTTAGAGATTCAATATCGAGAAGCAAAAGAACACCAATCAAGGTGCTTAATTTGATGTGAAATTTAGCCAAGCCTGACATGATGAATGTGTTGTATGATGAAATTAACAGCTGATGGCTATATCCACTGGTGCACTTCTGACAGGCAGCAAACCACATAGGGAATGCATCAGGGATCAGCCCTGTCATGATCAGGGCTCTCGTGAAAACGTCTGTACACCCAAACAACGGCTATGTGCGTTGAGGCCCTGCTTCAAGGACATGGTCAAGCATTGCTCGTTGGTGGGAAGTAGAGAGTAATTTCTTTCCTCTGTGCTTCCACATGGCCTTTTCTTTTTTTCTTTTTTTTTTTTTCCTGTTTCCGCTTTCCCTTTAGTTAAATTATTTAATTAAAAATAATGTTCTCTTGATAATTATTTTTCCCTTAATAAAATTATCCCTATCTCAACCTGTGAGTTGTTTCTTTCCTTTTCTTCTTCCCCTCCTTTTCTGAGGAGGGGGAGTGAGAGAGCGGTTGTGGTGGAGTTCAGCTGCCTAGCAAGGTAAAACCACCACACCTGGAGAAAAGGAGACTGCTCATGGAAGCAGTTGAGCCACCATCCCTGGAGATATTCAAAAGACATGTAGATGTGGTGCTTAGGGACAGGGATTAGTGGTAGACTAGACAGTGCTAGGGTAACAGTTGGACTTGATGTCTTTTCCAGTTGGAAAAGACACCTAGTTTTTGGACGTCTAGTTGTTGGACTAGAGGTCTTTTCCGACCTAAACGATTCTATGATTCTGAAGTCCCATGCTGGGTAACTAACATGGTCCCTCAGGGGGACTCCATCTTTGGGTACTGCTGCAACTTGCCAGCACCTTGAGCAACCAGATGGAGCTGCAAGGGTGGCCATGCTGGGAGCAGGTTGGCCTGGAGACCCCCACCCTGGAGCTTCCAGCTGGAGCCTGGTGTGACTGCATATCTTGCCCATGCCACAGGCACCTCCATGTGACAACAACTGACATGCATCAAAGAAAAATACTGGCATGACTGACCTTGCTGTCATGACTAATTCTGCTGCTCAAAACTTGTAACTGGGAAAGCTTCATTGCATACTACGCCAGCATGTTTTTTCTCTGGAAACTGATACTTCCTCCTGGACCAAGGTGAGACTCTAGGAACCACAGCCATAAATCAAACCTCTGTGTTTGGAGCCGTAACGTAGGGACTCCAGAGTCATGCCATGCCTGCCAGGGGCAGGTATCCAGCAGTGCTGGCATAGTGTTTTCCTGTGGGATGCACATCTGAGAATACATTCATTCACATTGAGAAGTCCTTGCAACAACTGCCACTGAATTTAAAGCCTACACACCACTGGTCTGCATCAAGGTCCATTCCCACTGCTACTGGTGTGCTTGCTTCTCAAGCAGCATCAAGGCTGCGTGGGTCTGGACTCTCTTTAATACTGTAGAAAACACGGCAGGGGTCTGGCTGCTGTTTTAACATGCAGGGGCTGTGTTTATACTAGTAAATGTAAAGAGACCATTCTCCAGCACCTGATAGCAAACTCAAGGGTGCAGCCATCTCAAACTGGGATGGCCACATCCCAGCTTCAAGTTTGCTGGCACAGACACTTGAACAGAGCATATCATAGAATCACAGAATCATAGAGTCATAGTCATAGAGACATAAAATGGCTCCGGTTGAAAGGGACCTCAATGACCATCTGGTTCCAAGCCCCTGCCATAGGCAGGGACACCACCCACTAGATCAGGTTGCTCAGGGCCTCATCTAACCTGGCCTAAAAAACCTCCAGGGATGGGGCATCCACAACCCTGGGCTGCAAGTGTGCACTGCTGGCTCATGTCAAGCATTTTGTCCTCTAAAACTCCCAACTCTTCCTCTACTGGGCTGCTCTCAATTAGTTCTTCTCCCGGTCTGTACGCATGTCCAGGATTTCCCCGACCCAGGTGCAGCACCCTGCACTTGGACTTGTTGAACCTCATTCAGTTCACGTGGGCCCACTCCTCAAGCTTGTTCAGGTCCCTTTGGATGGCATCCCTTCCTTCTGTTGTTTCAACTGCACCACTCAGCCGGGTGTCATCTGCAAACTTGCTGAGGGTGCACTTGATTCCATCGTCTATGTCATTGATACAGACGTTAAACAGCACTGGTCCCAGGACAGACCCCTGGGAGACACCACTTGTCACAGGCCTCCACCTGGACACAGAGCCATTGACCACCACTCTCTGGGTGTGACCTTCAAGCCAACTCCTTATCCACTGAATGGTCCACCCATCAAATCCATCTCTCTCCAATTTGGAGATCACGATGTCATGTGGGACCATGGGGTATCTGCTCCCTCCCTGTGTTTCTCTAGCTGTTATTTTTTTCGGTAATGTCTCCACTCTATTCCTCTCCACATCATGAAGACGACTAACCCAAGAGGCAGCTTTCTGCTCTCTCTCTTGATGTGACCTTATGTCAGAGTGCTGCTGATCCTAACTCAGGTTCCTGGCTGGTCTCCCCCACTCCATCACCACCTCTGCACCCACACAGGCTTTACCTAATCACCAGCATGCCAGAGGATCGAAGTCAGATGCCATCCCAAATCCCTTCTGAAATAAACCTTGAAATAACCCCCAAAACCTGCAGACTTCTGATTTCATGAATTTTAACATAAATACTTCTGGGGACAGAGAAACATGGGGGGCAGATAAAAGCAATGATCCACCCATGAAAGCCAGGAGGGGAAAGGAGGAGAAATAAGGCATGTGGCACCAGAGGTGGTGGTAGATTTGCCAGAGGAAGCCAAAAGACAGGCCTGCCCCAGGAGACAAGACTAGCTGAGCAAAATGGGCTTTGAAGAAACCACTCTTCCTTCTCTGGTTCAATGCCCCCTCTGAGTAGGTGTGGAGACATCTGCTCCTGGACTTAGATCTTTTCAAGGAAGATCCATTCACAGAATCATGGAATCACCAAATAGTTTGGGTTGTGAGGGAACTTAAAGATCATCTAATTCCAAACCCCCTGCCATGGGCAGGGACACCCCCCTGTAGACCATTCCTCCTCATGGACCTCAGGAACTGCCTTGAATGGGCTTCTGCAGCATACACAAACACACACACTGTCCAAGGAAGAATGACTCTATACAACACGCTCCAGAAAGAACAAGAAAGTGGCTGTTGCAAGAGGTGCTCTTCAAAGACATTTCTTCTCACTTGACCTTGATCATGTCCTAGCTGAGGAACCGTCGTGTGGACTTCCTCTCTGCACATGCTGCCTGGATTAGTCAGCACTGAAAGCCCTGTATGCAACCTGCCCTTCCACGGTGCATTCTGCCTTCCTCCAGGCCAGCTGCTCCCCTAGGACCCAGCACACTGACGTCTCCTAGCTGTGCAGGGACTCCATGCCAAACCTCCAGTGCAGCCTGGCAGAGCAGCCACCCTGGGCTGCAGCAGAGCACTGGCTCCCATCCCAGCTTTTTACGCCGTTTACAGCTTTTACATTCACCTGGACACTGGCAGCTGTGTGCTTGCAGCCCTTGGCTACTGGGT